TTTTTTTTTTTTTGGAACTGGGGATTGAATTCAGCCCCTTGTACTTGCCGGGCAAGAGCTTATTCTAATGAGCCATCTCCCTGGCCCCTACACACTTTTTAAATAATTCCTTATATTCAGAAAAATTTCCAGACTCTTTTTGTTGAAAAACAAGTAAATAATTCAAGGTTGCAGTTCCACCGAAATTCCTAAAATATTTCATCTGAATGACTCTGCAAACCCACAGGGGAAATTCCTTCCTCTAATAACTATTCTTATGCTAACAGTATATTTAACTCCTGAAATAATAATAATTTTACTTTCTTAAATTTGGATGAAGAAAAGAGATCCTTAGGCTCTGGCAGCTAAAGTGTCAGGCTGTAAAACTGACATCTCCTTATGAAAATCCACAGATAGGCAAGGTATAGAGGTATCTAAGTTAAAATCAAATTTTCTTTAAAATTGCAATTTGGAATTCACTTGACTCAAGAAATGGTAACTGAGCATTCTCTTGTCCCGGATACATTACATATACCAATTCACTTAATTCTTACAGTGGATTGGTCGTTATCATATTATAAATATGAAGAAAAAACAATTCAGAGATCTTAAATAACAATATTTCACGTAAATGACTAAGCTAAAAATTGCTAGTTGCCTAACTCCAAGGTCACTGTCTAACGCACCATATTGACGATTCTCTTTATTTCTCGCTTTACTCACTAATATTGGAAGATGCTGAGAAGGCTATGTGCTAAGACCTTCAATAACTCCACTCACAGCATAAATAATTGAGACTTTCACTAAGGGGAAACCATTAGAATTAAATAAAGAATTTTCTCTCTATTAACTCTCCTACCTCTTTCCCCAGTAGTTATGCATCCCTTGTCAGCTGCACTTAATATCTGCTTGTGGTTTACAGATTTTAGAGCACTCTAATGGGTGTCAAACAGTGAAACGGTCTCAGCCAGCAGTTAAAAATATCACTTTCATACATAGTTTTTGCTGCAGAGAATTTTCCTGGTGGTCTTGCAGAATCATAAAAACAAAATATTATGGCCTCATTTTTAAATGAAAAGCTCAACAATATATTCCATTTTAAAGAATAGAGGTAATTTATTAATTTTTTTAATCTTTATTTATTTGGTACAGGGTCTCACTATGCAGCTTGGGCTGGTAGTGATCCTCCTGTCTCAGCCTCCCCAATACTGGGGTTGCAGGCACGCACCACCATGCCTGGTTTCAGTGGCCACCACAGGTGCCTGGGATTCTGGGCTGGCGACATGCGGTACCCAAGGATCGAACCCCGGTCCTTGCACTTGCCAGGTAGATGCTTAGACCACTAAGCTATCTACCTGGCCTAAAGAGGTAATTTTTAAACAGTAAAAGCACAAATAAAAACTTAAGGGGGTTGGGGAGATGGCTCAGTGGAATAAGTACTTCCCTGGCAAGTGCAAGGGCCTGAGTTCAATCCCCAGTTCTGCCAAAAAAATATATAAATAAAAACTTAATATAGATTTCAAAAAAAAAATATGAAAATGGTTGAATCCACTTACTTCAACACTGATCTCTCAGCTCAGGGTCACAAATTAATAATGAGCACAAACAACGGAGTCCTCAGCAAGCAAAAATGGCGGCTTCTTTATACTTTGGAATATAATAGCTCAGCAGACCAAGCTGATCCCAAAGAACATGGGACTCACTGGGGCTCCACCCAGTGAGTAAGCCTGAGAACCACCAGACTAGAAAAAGAGCTGAATCTGGAATGGAGGGGCGAACAGCTCAAGCTGCACAAGTGGTCAGGGATGGCACCATGGGCCAGGCCCTGCAAGATGAGTCAATGACCAGCAGGTAGGAGGGAGACAGAAGAAGGGAAGAGCCCAACCGCTTCAGGTCCACAGGTGAAGATGTGTGGAGTCACTCCAGACCAGGGAGCAAACCCACCACTACAGAGCTGGCGCCTGGGGAGGACAGGCTGAGGAAGCCCATTCAGCCAGGGGAGGGAAGGTAGGTCACACTGACTCCGAAAACAGGCTGGAGTGCACTTTAGAACTGGAGGTCGCAGGGAGCCATGGGAGGGAAAAAATCATCTTTTAGGAAGCTCTGCCCAGCAGCAGTGGGCAGACAGACAGAGGAAGGGGCAGTGGGAGGCAGGGAGCCATTGACAGCTCAAGGAACTCGTGAACTTAATTAAACAAGGTATGAAAGGCTTTCACCTCCTGATTTTCCTAGGGAAATCAGAACACTGGGGAGGCAGAGGGCTTGGGCCCTGGATAGGGGCCTCATGACCCCAGTAGGTCATTTTCGCCCCAAGGAAAAAAACCTAGAAAATGTCCTCAGGAGCAGGTGCTCAGTAAGTAAATCATAGATGTATGAATGAACAAAATGTCACCACATCTACAGGAAAGGGGACAATTCTGGAGACTGGTTGCTAAAATATTAAAGAACTGACAGTACTGATATCCTATTTTGTGCTAGGCCCCAGCAGTTTACAGGCAATACCACTTCCGGTCTACATTCCCAGCACCTGGCCCCAAGTCCAAGGTTAACACTGTCTTTTAGGAAATTGCAGTATTTCAGGTTTCTTTTATAATTGATTCATTAATATCAGCATTTACTGAACACCAAATGCTGGCAGGATGCCATTCTCTGCTTTTGAAGAGTAGAGGGAAAGGACAGAACCAGACAGATAAGTAGCCATCATTCAAATGCAAATAAAATGAGGCCTGAAGACAGATGGAAGGGTTGTGCTTAGGAGAGTAGTCACTCAGCAAACAGTTGGTGGCTGGGGAGATAGCTCGGCAGTCTAAGGGCCCGCCTGGCCACCAAGACCGGGCGCAGTGGTACGCGCCTGTAATCCCAGCACTGGGGAAGCTAAAACACGAGGATCACTACAAGTCTGAGCTGCATAATGAGACCTTGCACCAAATAAATAAATAAAAGGTTTCTTAAAAATTAAAAATAAACACTTGGTGATTGTGTCCCAACACAAAGAAATGGCAAAGGACTGAAATGATAGCTATACCAGTTAACCTGATCTGACCATTACACATTATACACAAGGATTGATTGAAGTGTCATACCATAGCCCATAGATATGTGCAATCACTGCCAATTAAAAATAAAAAGATCTTTAAAAATATGTCAAGAAGTCAGGAAAAAGCAAAGCGTAGCACAATGAATACCCTCGTATGTTCATGCAGAACTCGGCCTATCCCTAGACTGGCTCAAAGCATACTGAGTTGCATCCTAGGTCAGGCGAGGACCATGGTCATGAACCTATGAAATGTAGGTTGTTGTGTTTTTCTTTTAAGACAAAAGATGCTAATGCATGAGTTGTTTTTTCTACTTAAAACCTCAGTGTTTGGGTCTAATCGCAGTGTTGGCACTTAGCAACAGATGACTGGGTTTGGGTTGCAGTCTGGGTACTTGCTCTCTAGAAGGTTCACCATCACTGGGCTTGGGCTAGACAGGAGAACAGCGTGAGCTTCAGGCCCACGTACAGAGTGCTTATGGGAGAAGGGCAACCAGGAGAGGGGAAAGGAGGGAGTGGCCTGGTCTTTAGGGAGAACCTCCCAGCACAAGCCAAGACTGTCCCCAAGGCAATCCTGCCACCAGCTGGGAAGGCTCCCAGCACTGACTGCATGCTCCTGCCCTCTGCCTCATTCCTCCTGCAGGTGCCATACCCCTGCGCAAGCCCCGGACCCCAAAGGAGACCTTCAGAAAGGTGGGGATCCCCATCCTCGTGACACTGCTGAGCGTGATGGTCATCATCGTTGTGGCTGTCCTCAGTAAGTTACAGCCCCTAACCAGATTTAACCCCCGAGTAGGTGACAGTAGCCTCCCTCAATTACCCAGAGCTCTAAGTGGTAGCTCCGCCCACATCCTCCACCCCTACAGTCAGAGGTGGGTGATCTGCAGAAGGCCGTGTGCAAATGAAAAACCTGAAGCACATCCACCTCTGCCTTGAGGGGGGCTGCCTTCTAAGAGCAAAAGGCGGGGATGAACTCAGCTCCCATCCATCTCTCCCCATCTAGCCCAGATTTCTTCTTCACACGTGACACATGTCACAAACCCACGCAGGCAACTGCAGGGCCCCACCCCCACCTCCTCCTCCTTCCCATCCCCTGCAGATTGACAGCTGAGTGGGTCTCAGCAGCCCCGGGGGCTTCGAGGACAGGAAGCATTTCTGCCAGTGAAACAAAGAGCAGTCATCAGGGAAGGTGTCATGTCCCCAGCTTCAGCTCTGTCTTCTTCATTAATTTCTGAACACCAGGGTGACCCTGAGCAGCTCCCTCTGTGACAAATAAGATTAAACTAGGTAAGCAGTGCTTCCCACTGTCCCTCCCAGCTCCCACAGCCTGCCACTGAATCCTTGCCTTCATCAGCTCCATCGCTACCGACCACAACAGGAACTGAGGCACCAGAGATCAGACTAGGAATGAGGACACGGGGGACAGAAACCCTGGCTCTGCCACTTGCTGCTGTGTGACCCTAAGTGGGCCCTCAGCCTCTCTTACCTTCAAACTCTTCACCTATAAAATGTCCTGCCTTCCTCCCAGAAATATTATGAGCACCAAGGAGATAGTGTGGATAAAAGTACCGGTCGTGTGTGTCATCACGTAGGCTGCCGAGATGTGACCCAGGCTGTGTGTTTGCTGTCAGGCAGGACTGTCTGGAAGCCCTGGAAAGGGCTGGCTATTTGGAAGTCCTCTGTACTCGGAACTAAGGTGGTGTCTGCACCAGCAGGAGCCACCAACCTTGTCAGAGGACACTTAGAGATCTCCTCGTCTAACCCCTCATTTTATAATGGGTCTCTAGAGGTCCCAAAGGAGGTGTGGCAGCCAGGGGCAAAGTTGGAAGAGGACCCCAGGCCTCTGACAAAGAAGGTCCAGCTCTATCTCAGGACAACAGAAATGCCGATCCACAAGATAAACATAAATTCTTTAAAGTTTTGGATGGGTGTGAGACACAAACAGCTCCAAATCATTTCTGTCTCAACCTTGGCTGGCCTGACATGACAGTAGTTGTATAAGTTGGCTTTCTACTACTATAACAAAATACCTGAGGTAATCAACTTATAAAGAGAAAAATATTATTGTGGCTCAGTGTTTTGGAGGTTCCTGTCCATGATCAGTTTGCCCGCTGCTTCTCGGCCCGTGCTGAAGTATAACAGAGCAGGACTGAGGCACAACAAATCCCCTTCCAGCATGAGTCAGGAAGCAACAGGAGGAGGAAGAGACTGCAGTGCCACAATCTCCTTAGAAGGAATGCCCCCAGCAACCTAACGGGCTTCCAGTAGGCCGCATCCTAAAGATTCCGTCACCTCCCAAGAATCTGCTGGGGCTCAGACCTCCGGGGGACACCCCACGTCCCAACTACAGTGATGGGTCTACAGCACCCTGCAGGTCTGCTGATATTAAAACAAGCTTGCTTTCTCTGAGCATACGTCCTGCCACAGTGGAAAGAGAAGAGGGCAAATGTACCCAAGGGAAGCCAGAAAGACACCAAATCATAATTTAGAGTTGGGCCCTTGCTACCTCAGAAGGCCCTGCCTGGTTTCCGCATACTGGTTTCTCCCAGTTCTGGAATCAGAGGTGGCAGACAAATCCTTCACCCTGGCCTATGTTCCTGGGCTATGAGCTGCTGGGCCTGTCTCCTGGCTTTGTCCCAGAAGGCTGGATAGTCTTGCCTTATTCTGGCTCTTGGTCATGAACGAAACTTGGAAGGTCTAGGAAGTTCCTAGCCTAGAATTTCTCCTTTACTTCACTCAAGAAAGGAGCATCAGGGTCAGTAGATCCCATCTTTGCGTCCTTCTGGGGGGTAAACAGACAGTGACTACAACATGAGCACTGTAAGGCTTTGGGAATGAAGTCCCAACCCTTCTATCCTCAGGGTCCCCACTGGTGATATAGGTTAGAATGACACCTCCCTCCTGAGGTAGCTGCTGGGATGCAAAAAGAACAGTATGGAAATTTACCAGCGCAGTGACACGTGGGGCCTATCACAGACCTACTGCCACCACTCTTGGGATAAGCTGGGGCTGATGCTAGCCTGGAGAGAATCCACTTAGGAAACGGGAGTACCTTCCTAGGGTGTATAGCTGTGCCATCATCCAAGAAACTTCTGGACATACCTGTTCCCTAAGGGACTTATTACAACAAATGCATTCCTATCTGCTTGAGATGGCAAAGGAGTAACAGAAGCGAATGCAGCTGGCAGAATTTTAAGCCAGCAGGCAGAAAACAAAATGTCAATTTCTTCATGAATCTTTTTTTTTTTTGGTGGAACCAGGGATTGAACTCAGGCCCTTGCACTTGCCAGGCAAGCCCTTATTCTACTGAGCCATCTCCCCAGCCCCTTCATGAATCGTCTAATCCCAGACAAAAACACCTGCCTGTAGAGCTGTGCTTAAGAGTCAAAAGACATTTTCACAACTACCAGCTTACTGTTTTTCTCATCAGCCTGTGAGATAGGTATGTGCCATCATTTCATTTTACAGAGGGAGAAACTGATTCCTCGGTGGGGAAATGAGTGGTGTAAGGTTGCACACAGTAAGTAGCAGAGCCAGACCCAGGTCTGGAGGCTCCAAGTAAGAGACCCGCAGAACCCATTTCTCAATTTCCCTCACACACTTTCTCACTCTGACTCCTCTGCTGTCTTATAGATAGGCCTGTGTTATTATCTCCACCTTCCAAACAAGGCTTGGCTCGGGACCAGGTAGATCCACCAGTAAGCAGCAGAACTGGGCCTTGGACCATATTTGCCTGTCTCCAGGCCCAACACTAACTTTCAGAAAAACACGGCCTGTCCCTGGCCCGGCTGCCTGCATGACCATGAGCCCTCTCTGCCCCTTTTTGCACTTGTGTTCCAGTCAAGGTGATCCTGGATAAATACTACTTTTTGTGCCCGAACTCTCTGCACTTCATCCCAAGGGGGCAGGTGTGTGACGGCCACCCCGACTGTGCCTCGGCAGAGGACGAGGAGCCCTGTGTCAACAGCTTCCCTGAGCAACCTGCTGTGACAGGTGAGTCCAGGTGGGGACAGGGCACAAGAGGAGTGGACCCAGTAGCAAGTTTGCTCAGGCCTCTTGGGTGACGCAGTACCAGCCTACGTACAGACTTGCCTATCCCCATGGAATAGGTTTCACCAGAGCAGGACCCCACCGTGTCTATCTCTAGATCCCAGCAGGTAACAAAGAGCATGCACTCAATAAAGACTGAGCAGAGGGAATAGGAAGTTATAACTCAGCCTGTCTCACTCCTGCTACACCTTCTTGGGTCTGAGAAGGAGGACTAACTTGGTTGACCTTGAGAGGTCCTCCTGCCTCTGAAATCTCTTATTTAAAGAGGACCAGAAAAGAGAATGTCAGACTATCCAACCAGCTAGTCATCCTTCAGTTAATGTACTGTAACATGCTATGTAACTGGCCTTCAAAGGAACGTGAGATGCACAGAGGATAAAAACCATGCTATTTCTTGATCTATCTGGTAACTGGACTCTGAAGAGAAAAAAACAAAAGAGATGGGTCATGAGACAGAGCTGAGTGACTTCCTGTGTAATATGCTCTTCTTTAATGAAATTCAAACACCTCTGAGCACCTACCATCCTATTCCCATTTGAACTGCTCACTCGGCCTCTACCCTGACCTTACATGGAGAAGCACCTAGGTCCCCAGCTGAGACGTCTCCCCAGGCTAAGCAAGCTACCATGGGTTGAGTGACCGTGTACCTGTTCATCAAATCTGACATCCATAAGAGTGAAAGGAAGCGATGTTATTCATTGTGTCAGGGAAAGAGGTGAAAATGGAGACTGATAGCTGAACATCTATGTGCTCTAGCTACTGTGCAAGCGAAGCTTAAACAAAGTGAGATGGAGGAACTTCCCTTGGGGCTAAAGTGTCAGTGCTCATGATGTGCCCCGTTCTGGCCTGGGGGAGCTCAGCTGGCCTCAGGAAGAGTTCTGGGAGGCTAGGCCAGAGGGGCCTTACAGCAGGCTGACCCAGGCTCCTCCCCTCCCAGTCCGCCTCTCCAAGGACAGATCCACCCTGCAGGTGCTGATCCCCACCACAGGGAACTGGGCCTCTGCCTGTTACGACAACTTCACAGAAGCTCTGGCCAAGACAGCCTGTGCACAGATGGGCTACGACAGGTACCCACCCAAGTCAGCGGACACTGTCACTTTACCCCCGCAATCTCCTCTCTTCCTCTTCCTTCCCTTTTGCTTCCTCTTTCTCCTTTCCCTGTTCCCTCCTCCTGTCTTCAAAACACAGAGAATGGAGTCAGATAGAACGGCTTTGATTTCCAGTACTTTCACTTCAGACAACGTGAAGATAAAACTCCTCAGCGTCGGTTTCCTCAAGAGTTAATCAGGGGCATTACCAGCCTCATAGGATGAGTATGGGGTACCAACAGGAAAATGTGTGCAGACTCCCCAAAATACACAAACACACACATACAAACATACACATACGTGCACACTCACACATACACTGACACATAGCATGTACCCATACACAGACACATATATACATACACTGACACACTCCAAGTACACACAGAGTTCTGGCTCCTCTATGGTCCTCTTTTTCTCTTGGTTCCTCAGTCCTCACCCTTTTGTCCTTTGGAAGAAGCCTTCCCTATCCAGTAATACTGAAGTCTAATTTATTTATCAAAGTTCCATTGGTTAAAATTTAATGAAAATGATCCTGAGTTCAGCGGCGCCCCATCAACAGCAATCCCAGTTCTCTCCACAAATTCCAAAAGCAGCTCCAAATCTGGAGTGGATGGAAGGTACATAATTATAAAAAGGATAATTAGCATTACATACATTTATATTCATTTGCTCTTGGCAGAAAACCAAAACCGTAGTTATTAATATATCTATGTTGTAAATAAGCTCAGCAAAAGTAACTCACTTATACAGTAGCTTGGAATAGAGAATGAGCTTCTGTGTCTAAGACCCCTCATTTGGGGGGCAGGAGTCCTGCGTTTTATATCAGGAAACTCTTTCTTATTACAGAGTTTCCAGTATAAGGTGGGGAACATGATGCCATCGATCACTCAGAGTCAACTTGCAGCAGATAACAAAGAGCACATTTGTAGGGTGGGACAGTCTCTCCCTAGCTGACACCAAACTTCAGGATTCTGAAAAACTGGGCCTAGAGATGAGATGATAACTATTATGCAGACATCACCAACCAATCACAGATCTCTGTCCTGTGGATCCCTAAAGCAGCTTCAAGGTCCTTTTCAATGAACACTGCAGGCAGCCTTTGCAAATCAACGTGGCCTCTTCTCTGGTTATCAGGCTTCTGCTGATTTCCACCATTCATGAGTGCAACCCCCAGTATCCTTAGGAAGGACACCCTGTGCCTTCATTTTCAAGGCGTTTGGAAGGCATGTCTGGTCCCTGTTACTCTCCTCTCCTGCTGCAGCTGCCCTGCTCCAGCCTGGCTACAGCCAGCCCCTCCTCCCACTGCAGTCCAACCAGCTGCAGTGTCAGTTTGCCTGGTCCTGCAGGCTGAGGCTGGATTACAAAACCTGGGTATCTCCTGAGGTTCTCAAGACGATAGGCTCCAGGCATTTCCGTTCTCGTAGAGATCACTACGGCATCAAACCACTTATCTCTTGGACTCCACAAAATCAAATTTCATTAGAATTATTGATCGGGCTATGATGAACAGCCAGTAACTTTCCTGGGAATGTCCATTTCCAACATTGTCTCTCTTGGGGTAGATTTTTCTACTGACTTCTCTGCTTCCTTTCCTCTGCCTGGATTGGAATCACTTCTTCTCAAAGGACACAAAGTCATAGGTGTGACTCTAGGTGTCAGTTGGTCCATCCAAAATTTTACCAAGAAAACTGAGGCTCAGAGAGACACAGAAAAGGAATGTGACCTCCCAAGACTCTTTGCTCCCCCTGCTGTGAACCAGAAAATACTGCTGGGACATTTGAACCAGGGACAGAGGTGGACGTTAAGAAAGAGGACCTCTACCATTTCTCCAGAGCTCTAGGGTCTGGAATATGAATCCCTACCTGAGAAAGCGTGGGCTCTGAGTCAGGATGCCGAGGGGAAGCCCCTATCATACAGCAAAACAAATCCCACCCCATGGGCCAAGACCACGTCCATGCCCTGCTGCCCCCACCGCCATTCTTGCCACCCTCTCTCCTGTGAGCTCAGGCTGCTGCCACCATCCTGTTCTCACCTCCCCCAAGCTCACAGCTCTGGCTCCCTCCCACAGCCAGCCCACTTTCCAAGCTGTGAAGATTGGCTGGGACCAGGATCTGGATGTCGTTGAAGTCACAGAAAACAGCCAAGGGCTTCAGGTGCTGAACTCAAGTGGGTAAGTGCTGGACCCTTACCAACTTGCAGAGGCCTCACATGGAGGCCACTAGGGCTGTAGCCAGCTCAGCCTAAGGAGACCAGAAGCAAGAGGAACATAAGGCAGACAACAAGCACTCTTCACCAGAGCTATAGATTATTAGGTGCAGCTATAACATCACATTTCTGGGAGGTTTTCTGTGGTGCCTTTTTAAATACAAGGACAGCTGAACTATCTATCCAAAGGCAGAGGAGTAAATAAACTGGTCTTTCTATCAATTTAAATATAAAGCCAAATGTCTCTTGCTACTGCCTTATGTTTCCTAATAAATTGCCTAATAAGCCCTTTCCAAAGGTCCCTTTGTCTCTCCCTACCACTTACCCAAGCCAGAGTAGGACTTCCCCACATTCCCAGTGTTCCAGGGAAGAAATCCCATGACTCTCGACTCACCATCCAGCTTTAGAACACAGCATCCAAACGAAATCTGTCACACTGCAGCAGGCTGGATTGGAGAGGACGCTGGCTCCTTAGCATGCAAGGTTGTTTCTGAGGGCTGCTATTCATCAGAGTAAATCCTGAAAAGGCCAGGGTTAGCAGCACAATGACTGTTTGCCTCAAATGCCAATAAAATCATATTCTTCCATTGGAAAAGCCTGCCTCACAGTAGATTCTATTCTGTGGACTCTTCTTTTCCTGCTCAGGCTGTCAGGAGCCTAAACCCCATGAGCTTTAACCTGGGCAAAGCCCTGCATATTGTGGATACTCATCAATGGGGGTGTTGGATAAAATCAAATTGCACTGAGCGTTAATGCAGTTTCTATAGAGTCTCCTTATGCAGTTTTTCAGATTTCTCAGGTATTGTGAAGGGCTTCAAATCAACATCACCAGAAAGCCCGAGTTCCTTCCTTCCAGCCAAGGAGGATGTGGAACCCACAGGACCCTGTGTTCTCTTGCAGACCCTGCATCTCGGGTTCTTTGGTTTCCCTGCACTGTCTCGGTGAGTATGTTCTGTCTCTGAGGATTTGGGGCTGAGTCAGCAACCAGCAGGGAGGAAGACCTTTGCCTCATTCTTAAATCCCCCAGAAACCAAGTTTTCAGTCTAGTTTGGCCCAAATGTTATTCTTCGGCCTTTGGACCAGTAGGTCAGTTCTCCTTCAAGTGGCCGAGTTAAGAACTTTCTATCAACTGACCACAGCACATGGCCTCAGTGTACTGTACAGTATTAGTATTTTGTTACTGTAGTGAAATATCTGAGGCAGGCTAAATTTACAGAGAAAAGTTTATTTAGCTCACAGTTCTGGAGGCTGAAAGTCCAAATTAGGCAGCCCCACTAGTATGCTCTCTGGTGGGCATTCAACTTCAGATAAAGGATCACGGCAGGAGTACATACAAAGAAATCACATCACAGAACAGAAAGACTGTGACACAGGGCTCCAGCTGGTTTTATCACAGCTCACTCTCCTAGGAGCTTGGAGATCCCATGAGAACTCTTCAAATCTCTTCTGAGAGCAGCTCTTCAGTGGCCCAAGGGTGACCAGGCCCCACTCAGAAAGGTGCCACCACCTCAGCACCACCACAAGGTCTCAGACACAAAGCTTTGGGGGCCACATTTAAATCATATCCAGGCACAGCAGGGAGCTACAAAAAGAACTGGTCTGACTAGAAGGAAACTTTACACAAAGACAGCATCAGGCTGGGAATGTAACCAGGGGGCTGGGAATACAGCTCAGTGGTAGAGCACTTGCCTAGTGTGTGCACAAGGCCCCAGGTTCAATCCCAGCACCTCCTAAAAAGGAGAGTGGTAGGCTTCCAAGAAAAGTTTAAGTTCTGCCTTGCCCACAAAGGGGCTTTGTGTGAGTGAGCAAGGCGGCAGTGTGTGGAATCAGACAGCCTTTGAAAAGCCCCTGCTAGCATAGCGCTAGGCACACGGGAAAGGGGCAGCAACCTCCTGACCTCACAGGGATCACCACGGCAGGGCTGCCAAGCACGGGGTGGGGAGGTGGCACTGGAGGATTTGACAGAGGACAAGTGTTGGGTGAGAAAGATATGTGGATGTGAGGAGGAAGGCAGGCAAGCAGGCAGGAGCAGCCCTCAGGAGGAAGGGGCATGCAGAGAGGTGCGACAGGAAGAAGGGAGCCCATTTCAGGGGGTTTCTTGCCACTTCCTGACGCTTGTGGATGTGTCTGTTTACTGTCACTCAGTGAGAGCAGCTCAGGACATTTCACCTGGGCAGGGCTTTTGTCATTCTGTTTCCCTGTTCAGTGGAAAGGTCATAAACCCCCAACACAATGGACACACCTATGTGCACAATCTAAACTGCAAACCACACCCCATGCTGAAAAATAGAGACATCTGAGGAAAAGCCTGCAGTCTAGAACCTTTAGCAGCTCCCCAAGAACAAGACAAAACTGGCCCCACCCTCCCC